CCAGGCGCTGGAGGCGGAGCGGCAGCGGAACCTGGCGCAGCCGCTCCCATTTGCCCATTTTCCCCGTTTTTCTCCCCGTTTCCAGGCGCTGGAGGCGGAGCGGCAGCGGAACCTGGCGCAGCCGCTCCCATTTGCCCATTTTCCCCGTTTTTCTCCCCGTTTCCAGGCGCTGGAGGCGGAGCGGCAGCGGAACCTGGCGCAGCCGCTCCCATTTGCCCATTTTTGCCCATTTTCCCCGTTTTTCTCCCCGTTCCAGGCGCTGGAGGCGGAGCGGCAGCGGAACCTGGCGCAGCCGCTCCCATTTGCCCATTTTCCCCGGTTTTTGCCCCGTTCCAGGCGCTGGAGGCGGAGCGGCAGCGGAACCTGGCGCAGCCGCTCCCATTTGCCCATTTTTGCCCATTTTCCCCGTTTTTCTCCCCGTTCCAGGCGCTGGAGGCGGAGCGGCAGCGGAACCTGGCGCAGCTGCTGCGCGCGGACGAGGCGGGGCTGGTGCCCAACCCGGAGCCGCTGGAGTGCCAGATCTGCCTGCAGCCGGTGCCCGCGGGCCGCGCCGTGCTGCTGCGCGACTGCCTGCACAGCTTCTGCCGGTACACACCTGGGACACCTGGGACACACCTGGGACAGCTGGGACACACCTGGGACACACCTGGGGACAGCTGGGACACACCTGGGACAGCTGGGACACACCTGGGGACACCTGGGGACACCTGGGATAGAGCTGGGACACAGCTGGGGACACCTGGGACACACCTGGGCACACCCAGGCACAGCTGGGATACACCTGAGATACCTGGGATAGAGCTGGGGACACCTGGGCACACCTGGGCACACCTGGGGACACCTGGGATACACCTGGGACACACCTGGGGACACCTGGGACACACCTGGGGACACCTGACATACCTGGGATAGAGCTGGGAATCACCTGGGATGGAGCTGGGACACACCTGGGGACACCTGGGATAGAGCTGGGGACAGCTGGGGACACCTGGGATACACCTGGGGACACCTGGGACACACCTGGGACACACCTGGGACACCTGGGACAGCTGGGATACACCTGGGACAGCTGGGACACACCTGGGCACAGATGGGACACACCTGGGACACCTGGGATAGAGCTGGGACACAGCTGGGGACACCTGGGACACACCTGGGCACACCCAGGCACAGCTGGGATACACCTGAGATACCTGGGATAGAGCTGGGGACACCTGGGCACACCTGGGCACACCTGGGGACACCTGGGATACACCTGGGACACACCTGGGGACACCTGGGGACACACCTGGGCACAGCTGGGGCACCCCCAGCATCCCTGACCGAATCCCAGTGACCATCCCTGACCCCATCCCAGTGTCCCTGACCCCCGTGACCCCCCCGTGTCCCTGACCCCCGTGACCCCCCCGTGTCCCCGCTGTCCCCAGGGAGTGCCTGCGCCAGGTGATCAACTTCAGCGAGGAGCCGGTGGTGGCCTGTCCCTTCCGCGATGTCACCTACGCCTGCGGCAGCCACCTGCAGGAGCGCGAGATCCGCGCGGTGCGGCCCTGGGGGGACAGGGGGGACAGGGGGTGTGACAGCGGGAACAGGAGGGGACATGGGGACAGGAGGGGACACGGGGTGTGACAGCGGGGACAGGGGACACGGGGTGTCACAGCCTCACCTGGGGACACGCGAGATCCGCGCGGTGCGGCACGGGGGGACAGGGACACGGGGGGGACAGGGGGTGTGACAGCGGGGACAGGGTGTGACAGCCACCTGCAGGAGCGCGAGATCCGCGCGGTGCGGCACGGGGGGACAGGGACACGGGGGGGACAGGGGGTGTGACAGCGGGGACAGGGTGTGACAGCCACCTGCAGGAGCGCGAGATCCACGCGGTGCGGCCCTGGGGACACGGGGACATGGGGGGACGGGGGAGTGAGGGGTGACACAGCTGCATCTGTGGGGGGCTCTCAGGAGACCAGGCTGTCCCCTTGGTAGGTGGTGACACGGGAGTCCCCAGGGGCGGGTGACAGTGCCTCAGGGACAGGGTGTGACAGCCACCTGCAGGAGCGCGAGATCCGCGCGGTGCGGCCCTGGGGACGTGGGGGGACAGGAGGGGACAGAGGGGGACAGGGCAGAACGGGCTGTCCTTGGGTGGGGTGCTGACATGGGTGGGTGACAGTGACTCGGGGGTCCCAACGCCCCTGTCCGTGTCCCCGTGTCCCCAGCTGCACGCGTGCTTCCTGGCGTGGGGGCTGGCTCAGGGTCCCCAGGGGTGGGTGACAGTGACTCAGGGGTCCCAGTGCCATGTCCCTGTGTCCCCAGCTGCTGTCCCCTCAGGAGCACGCGCGGTTCCTGGGGGTGGGTGACAGTGACTCAGGGGTCCCATTCCCGTGTCCCTGATGTCCCCGATGTCCCCATGTCACAGCTGCTGTCCCCCGAGGAGCACGCGCGGTTCCTGGCGCGGGGGCTGGCTCAGGGGTCCTGGGGGTGGGTGACAGTGACTCAGGGGTCCCATTCCCGTGTCCCTGATGTCCCCGATGTCCCCATGTCACAGCTGCTGTCCCCCGAGGAGCACGCGCGGTTCCTGGCGCGGGGGCTGGCGCTGGCCGAGCGCCGCAGCCGGAACAGCTTCCACTGCCGGGGCCGGGACTGCCCGGGCTGGTGCTTCTGCGAGGACGCCGTCAACGAGTTCCGGTGCCCGGTGTGCGGGGCCCTCAACTGCCTCCTCTGCAAGGTGCGCGGGGGTCCCGGGGGGGTCCCGGGGGGTCCCGGGGTGGGTCCTGGCTGGAGGCGGAGCGGCAGTGGAACCTGGCGCAGCCGCTCCCATTTGCCCATCTTTCCCCATTTTTGCCCATTTTTGCCCATTTTCCCCGTTTTTTGCCCCATTTCAGGCGCTGGAGGCGGAGCGGCAGCGGAACCTGGCGCAGCCGCTCCCATTTGCCCATCTTTCCCCATTTTTGCCCATTTTCCCCGTTTTTTGCCCCATTTCAGGCGCTGGAGGTGGAGCGGCAGCGGAACATGGTGCAGCTGCTCCCATTTGCCCATTTTTGCCCAATTTCGCCCATTTTTTCCCATTTTCCCCGTTTTTTGCCCCATTTCAGGCGCTGGAGGCGGAGCGGCAGTGGAACCTGGCACAGCCACTCCCATTTGCCCATTTTTGCCCAATTTCGCCCATTTTTTCCCATTTTCCCCGTTTTTTGCCCCATTTCCAGGCGCTGGAGGCGGAGCGGCAGTGGAACCTGGCACAGCCACTCCCATTTGCCCATTTTTGCCCATTTTTGCCCATTTTTTGCCCCACTTCAGGTGCTGGAGGCGGAACCTGGCACAGCCGCTCCCATTTTTCCTGTTTTGCCCATTTTCCCTGTTTTTTGCCCTGTGCAAGGTGGGCCGGGGGGGGTCCCGAGGGGGTCCCGGTGGGGTCCCGGGGGGGGTCCCGGGGGTCCCGGGGGTCCCGGGGGGGGTCCCGGGGGTCCCAGGGGTCCCGGCTGACCCC